TGAGAGAGAGCGAGAGAGAGAGAGAGAGAGAGAGAGAGAGAGAGAGAGGGAGATCATCTCTAGAAAACGCGAAGGAAATTGGGGTAGATAAGGTAGGTTAGAATAGGTGGGTAGGCTAGGCGGTAGCATCGCCACCCAGGCAGGCAGGGGCAGGCGGGCAGGCAGACAGGGCAGAGAGGCAGGCAGACAAACGAGGCCACAGAGGATAGAGGAACACGGCAGGACTTGAGCGCGATGATTGGCAGTTGACTAGATACGATATCACAACTGAACTTTGACAAGCATGCGAGCATCAAGACTCGGAAGGCGTGAAACTTGGCACCATGTTGGTGTTTGTCACCCGTACCCTGTCCGCTCCGATCCATCACAGCAATCGCCAACCGCTCGCCACCGGCAGCCACCTGCCAGCTAGGACGACGATGACGACCACGATCGAAACGACGGACCACCACTCACCACCACCATCAACGCCTATCGCCACCCGCCACCCGCGCACCTCTCACTGACGTTACGACGACAGAACGACGACCACCGGACCACCACCCCGTGACGCTCCGTACCACCATCAACGCCTCGGCCACCTCGCCACCTGCACCGTTTGTCAACATTTGGCTACCACGTCAACGCATAACCAATTTTAACCGTTTAAACCCAGCATGTTTCAAATTGCATACAGTCGTTACTCCATATGGGAAAGATGTGAACCGACGGCTATTTTGGAGCACGGAGCGCAGTTGACCTAGCTTTCGAGCGACGCCCACTTTTTGGCAAAAATGGAATTGGCCATAAGTCAGTTCAGGTTCAACTGAATTTGCTGCATTTTTAGCTCATCTGTACATAGTCCGATGGCAGCTTGTAGAATCGGCTTGATCGTCCGTGCGCGATCGTCCGTCGCGTCCGTACCGGCGTCAAACAGTTGGGCCAGCTCCCGGACCCAGCTCAGCTTCGCTCCTCCGCACGCCGGCTAAGTTTGCCCTCCCACCCTCCTATCTACTACGACGACGACGACGACGACGACGACCATATCGTCCACCACCCAGCCACACCATCACGCTTCGCACCCGCCACCGCCAGCTACGACGAGCGACGACGACGACGACGACGGAGCCCACGACGACCACCACCACCGACCACCATCCAACACCATCGCGCCACCGCCACGCCGGCACTACGACGACGACGACGACGACGACGACGACGGACGACGACCACACACCACCACCACCACCAAATGCAACTAGTGCCATCGCCACCGGCCACCGCCACTAGCGACGACGACGCCACCACCAACACCAACGCACCACTAGCCACCCCAGCCACCCACGCCGACCACCACCACCCCACAACACAACAACAACAACAACAACAAGCACGACAAATAATAATAATATGAATAATAATCATAATAATCAATGAAATAAATCATAATAATCATAATCAATAATAATCATACAATTAATCTATATATAATCATAATGCATAATAATCATAATCATAAATCATAATCATAATCATAATCATAATCATAATAATAACACAACAGCAACATCCTTTACAACTCATCAACGTACCTCTGATCGGACTTCCACCATCGTTGGCAATGCGCCAGCGGATCTTGACAGAGCTGAGTGACGTACCCATGACGTGGATAATGGGAGCAGACGGTGGCGCTGCAAAAATAACGCCGCATAACAAGTGAACATCACGAGACGCGTTCTCGAACCCTATCACGCGTACGTCGCGTTCACATCACGTGCGCACCACGCGCACGTCACGTGCAGATTATGTGTGCATCACGTGCGCATCATGTGTACATCACGTGCGCATCACGTGCGTAACATGTGCACATGATTAGTACATCACGTGCGCATCATGCGAACATCATGCGAACATTATGTGTACATCACGTGCGCATGATTAGTACACCACGTGTCCATAACGTGTACATCATGTGTAAATCAGGTACGTACCTGTCATGTGCACATTACGCGAGTATATCGTGTGCATATCGCGTGCGTATCCCGCGGCACATCGCTGTGAGCTCATAATGAGTTGAGTTGAGAGTGCTCCGGATATCACGGGTTAGCTAGATGCTCGTACGCTCGCAATGGGCGTCAGTGGAGTTCGTATCCTTCCTTTACCCGCATCAACATACGCATTTTCCCTTGCCACTCCGACGACGTTATTATCTCGTTAAAACTCCCGCTGGGGAGCCCGAAGACTGATTGCGTATTACTCTCCACTTATTCCCAGCTCCCGTACGGGTGTTGATTATTGACTATGTGCACGCGGGAGCAGGGAGAAAGTCGTAAATGCAAGCATAAAGACGAGAGAGAGAGTGAGAGAGCCTCGTGGGTGTTTAATCCGTTGGAGCCATTACGCGGGCGATAAAATGTGCATGTCTTAATGAAATCCGAAATTATGCGCGAGAGTGCGTGCACGCCAAGGGAATATCGTCTCACCCATCACGCCCACCCACCCACTTCATCCATCCAACTACCGACAGTCTTGTCAACCCTCCCACGCTATCTACCACGCCACCATCTCTCCAAACCCCCACTATATCCACCCACCCACCGTCTCTCCTACCCCCACCACTATATCCACCCACCCACCGTCTCTCCTACCCCCACCACTATATCCACCCACCCACCGTCTCTCCTACTCCCACCACTATATCCACATTCACCCACCGTCTCTCCCTACCCCAAGCCACTATATCCACCACACCCACCGTCTTCTCCTAACGGCCCCACCACTATATCCACGCCACACCACGCCGTCTCTCTAACTCCACGCACTATATCCACGCCCAAACTCCACCGTCATTTCTACCCGCGCACCACTATATCCAGCCCACAAGCCACCGTCTCTCCTCACCCCCTGCCACTATATCCGAGCCCACGACCACCGTCTTTCATCCGCCCGCTCCATCCACCCACCCACTGTCTTTCCCACCCACCCACTCTATATATATGTCTACCCTTCAACACACCCACCTGTGCGCCGTACATGGAATGCAAGCAGGCGAGAGGCTTGTGCACAGAAGAAGCTGAGAGAAGATGCATATAGATAGATAGGGGGGGGGGGGGGGGGGGGGGGGCGTACACACTACATACGCACGCACGGAGGGTGGCTGCCCTGCGAGAGAGCCGAGAGAGTCTAACACAGTAACGTTGGTGTGTCTATATAGTGAGAGAGAACAGCAGTAGAGGGCGAAGAAGGAGCCGGGGCCAAAAAAGTATATACATATATATATATATCTCGAGAAATCTTCCACGGCGATCATTTTCCACGTCTGATTACGTCATCGCGCCATGACGTCACTAACTCCGACATCCCCGTGACGTATGTGTACGCGCCATTTGTTTTAAACACAAACTCTAGATTTGCCCTGGTGCGGTGGGTGAATTGATTGGTGAATGATTTGATGGCCGGTAAGGTCGATCAGTAAACATGGGTATTCGAGTTGATTTTCGGGGTTACGAATCCAAAGCTCCCATGCAAAATGCTCGAGGGAGAAACAATAACAATAATAACAATAATAATAATAATAATAATAATAATAATAATAATAATGAATAATAATATAAATAATAATGCGACACGGAAAATGATCTAACGTGAAGCAAACGGAATCGAAAAAGAGTAAGTAACATACGCGAGGAAGCACCGACGGTGACGACCGGACGATGACGATGACGATCGACGTGAGACGCACGACGATGACGACGACGACGACGGTGAGCGACGACGACCGTGACGACAATGAGGAAAAGAAGCAGACAGGCAATGACGGCCGCTAACTAGAGACTAAGAGAAAGAGAAAGAGAGAAGAAGAGAGCGGAAGAGAAGCGAAAGAGAGAAATGAGAGAGAGATGACGAGAGAGAGATAGAGAGAGACAGAGGGAGAGACGTGAGAGATGAGAGAGAGGAAGAGAGAGAGGTAGAGAGAGAAAGAGAGGAGAAGAGAGAGAGAAAGAGAGAGCGGAGAGAGAGAGAGAGAGAGAAGAGAGAGAGAAAGGAAAGAGAGGGAGAGAGATGAGAGAGAGAGAGAGAGAGAGAAGAGAAGAGAGGAGAGAGAGAGAAAGAGAGAAGAGAAGAGAGAGATTGAACAGTAGTAGTACCCGAGCGCAGCTTTCTTACTCTCATGAAAGCGCACTCGACACTGGGCGGCCAGATCGCACGAAGGAAAAGAGCCGTAAATTAGTGTTATAACGCAAAGCAACAATAACACACGCGCCACACACTCACACATGCGAACAGAATACGTGAAGGGTTTCTCCATGAAAAAACGCTACTGAACGTATATATACGGTAATAGAAGCGAAATATATATAACACAACTATACAGACGAAACGCTAGCGGGTTCGAACAAAACGCGCGTAAGCTAGGCTGCGAATCGCATGCTAGCACGTAGAAGAACATGATAATACTGAAAATTAAATTTAGTTAACAAAACGCTAAAAGCCATAGCAACAGCGGGAATAATCATAATGCGCGTCAGCCAGAAAAATGATTTAGGTGGTGTATACGGGGAGTAGTAAGCTGAAGAAATATTCTCGATTCCAAGATTTCCGTGCGTAGTCGTCGTTAATCATGTTGTAGTTTATAAATATAATATATATAGGTGTATTTTCATGAAAGAGGAATTAGATTGGCAAGGGACGCCCCTTTAAGTAAGTACTTAGGAGGATCTCTATATTAATCCGGCACACCTGGTTACAATAGATATATTGTAAACAAGAAGTTTGCGACGCTAAAACCTTGATTCTTGAGTTTTGTTGTAGGCTGTCTCTCTCTCTCTCTCTCTCTCTTGCTCGGCTCTGCTTCTCTCTCTCTCTCTCTTCTCTCTTTCTCTCCGTCCGCGTGCGCTATTTTCTCTCTGCGCCTCTCTCTCTACACACACTTCTCTTCGGCGTTCCTATTCTCTCGTCGTCCTCCTCCCTCTCGGCTATTGCTCACGCCCCTGCTCTCGCCTCTCTTCTTCCTCGCTTTATTTCTCTCTCTGTCTCTATTCTCGCTATTTCTCTCTCTCCGCCTTCTCTCACTTCTCCGCTATTTCTCTCTCTCTCTCTCATCTGACTATCCTCTCCCCGGAGACTAAATTTTCACAGTAACATATAGACGGTATAGCGACCCAGCAAAAACAGCCACCGAAATACGAGCTTTCTAGACTATAGGTGGCCTCGCGTCTGTACATATGCCCACGCATACGTACGCTAATAACGAGGTGGGGCGATGTTTACCGTCCTAGGATGGTAATGTATACGCCTAACCGCCGGGCATGTGTGGGCGGTTCGACAACCGCACTGCGCCACAGCGAGGGCACGGACACAGGCAGCCAGAGCAATACAAGCAGCTGGGCTTATTTTTGGTGAAAGTGCCTGCTCCCACGCTAGTCATCCATCACCATCATCATCATCATCATCATCAATCATCATCATCACTCCATCACTACTGAGTCGTTACTAGCGCTGGTTTGTGTGTCCGCGAACATATTTTACCCTATATAGATTTTGTTATAGTCACTGTATAGTAGTTTTATATACTTTATGATGATCACCGGTATATTGTTTATATTTCACCGCATAATAGCTTATATAGTATATGATAATAGTCAGCGCGTAATCTAGTTAATATAGTCCATTTTGCATATAGTTTATATAATAGTCAGCCGTATAATAGTTTTATAGTAATGCTATATATTGTTCACCCTATATAGTTTTATATATAGTCATTGCATATTTTTATATAATAAGGTCACCGATAATTAGTTTATAAATGTCAGTAGCGTTATCATAGTTTAATAGGCTCATGCAAGTTTAATAATAAGTCTACACCTGTATATTAGTTTATATATTCGCCGCGTACATAATTAATAAACAACAGAATTTTTTGTATATTATTTTCAATAAGCACACGTATCTAGTTTTTAAAAAAGGAAAGAGACAGAGAGAGAGAGAAAAAGTAACGATAATAAATAAATAAATAAATAAAAGCAATATATAATAGATATATATATATAATAAGATACATATATATATAGATAGAGATAGATAGATAGACTGGTATAAGATAGATAGATAGATAGATAGATAGATATGATAGATAGATAGATAATAGATAGATAGATAGATAGATAATAGATAGATAGATAGATATAGATAGATAGTTAGTATAGATAGATATAGATAGATAGATAATAGATAGATAGATAGATAGATAGATACTATAGATAGATATGATAAGATTAGATACGTATAGATAGAGCTAGTATAGATAGATTTGATGCGAGTCGTAGGAGTAGATACATTAATAGATACATAGATAGATCAAAAAATAGATACAGTAGATAGATAGATTGATCATCGATCGACTAGATAAGATTGATTGATAAGATAGATAGATAGATATAACGACATAGATAGATAGATAGATACGAATAGCATAGCTAGATAGCTAGATAGACAGATAGAAGACCGATAGATATGACAGATAGAAAGGATAAAGAAAGACGAAAGACAGACAGACAGACAGACAGACAGACAGACCAGACTAGATAGAACTAGATAGATTAAATAGATAGTATAATAGATAGATAGATAGATAAAATAGATAGATAGATAGATAGATAGAATAGATAGAGTCGATAGATAGATAGATAGATAGATAGAAAATAAATAATAGATAATAGACTAGACAGACAGATCAGATAGATAGATAGAAGAGTATGATAGATAGATAAATAGACTAGATAGTATATGTAGATAGATAGTAGATAGAAAGATAGATAGCTGCTAGCTAGACTAGATAGAAAGAAGATAAATAGTCACGCCGCTAGCTTACCTGTAACGATTAGCACTGCCGTGACTTCGTCTGCGCCGTAAAGTACGTTCGTCGCCGTTGGCACGTGTAGTTTCCCAGCGTCGCTAGACCTCGACCGAGCTTATGTAACAGCGACCCGTCCTCTGTACCGTCATCAGCAGGTCTCCTTCCTCCACGTCGTCCCCGTGCTACAACATGGCGGCGGTTAAAGAGCAAAGACGGCTTTCAGATACTATACCAGAGTGTATCAAACTCTCCAGTTACTAGTTACTACTTACTACTTACCCTTACAATTACAATTACTGTCCAACTATCAAGTTTGATACACTGTCCTGATAATATCACACATATACAGATAGTATAAACATTCCAGATAAGTACAGACATTCACAGATCTGTAGATCTGTACACGACGTTCAGATAGTAGCAGCACATTACAGATCTGTAGATCTGTAAGAACATTGCAGATAGTACCGACATTACAGATCTGTAGATTGTGGCAGACATTACAGATGTACAGGACATTACAGATCTGTAGATCTGTACAGACATTAGCCGATAGTAAGACCAATTACAGCTGTACACCTTACAGATAGTAAGCACATTTACAGATAGTACAGACATTACAGACAGTAACATGACATTATACAGATAGTACAAACATTACAAGATAGTAGCAGACATTACAGATCTGTAGATCTGTACAGACATATACAGATATGTACAGACATTACGGATAAGATTACGAACATGGCGCGCTGTTAAAACGAAGAAACTCAACATACATTGATGTCAGCATATAATTATCAGATATATATTGTATTACGCTAAATACGATATATCGACTACGATTCGACTTTCGATACTATACTATACCGATACGAATATGATACGTTAGTGATAATCGCTACAACGAGTTTTCGTTCGTGCGATTTGCACGTCTACTGCATAAGCAAAAACGACATCGTAATCAGTTAAAAATTACGTATTAATTAACGTTGTAATGTAAGTAAAACGTACACGAACAAGTATATATGAATGTATGTCAGCCTGTTCTGCTAGCCATCTATGCTAATTACGACATACGCATATACGCTCTCCTATGACACTATTTGTCACTTCCTATTACAAATATTGTTGTATTGTTGTGCGCATCAATAAGGCAGTTTACGAGCGAACGAAGTTGACCTTGGCCAATATTTTCATAGGAAGTAATGCTTCCTATGACACAATAGTGTCATAGCAAGCGATATGCATATGTCGTATTTTCATACTGATACAAACCCAAACAACATGATTGTAGTATGTGTGTCGACTGTAGTTAACTGTAGTATGTGACATATATGTGACATATATGTGACATATATGTGACATATATGTTAGCATATGATGTGACAAGTAGTACAATGTAGGTATGGCAAGCGTAAACGTTACGATGCGTGAGTCGTTCACATTAACTTGCGCATCCACTTCGATTCTGCGGCGTCGGGAAGCCGACCCGTTGGCAATGGCACACGTGATGCGTCTTTTCACTTCGTGCGAAACTGCGCTGTCTGAACGGACGCGATTCGCGCTGGGCACACTGAACGAGCAGGGCGCTCTTAAGCACGCCTTCCGAACAGAGCCCGTATATAGAGATTAACTCCTTTAAGTAGAATGTATAATAGATATAGATGATATAGACATATATGAGTATAGATATATAGAGATGCTCTGCTATATAACGGCTCTGACGCTCGAGAAACACAGACTAGACAGATACACAGGAAGCAACGGGCAAAAAAGAACAGACAAAGACCTTAAACGAAAAGGGTTCCGCGCGAGTGAAGAGGAGGGGTGAGTGAGACGAGGTGGAGTGAGATGAGGC